TATCCACATTACCACCTCAATGCTTAATGATAAGGATATTAGTAGGGAATAAGCAGTCTTTTACAAGTGATATTCAACAATGGACTATATTTTTACTATTTCACAACTGATTAAAAATAGAGAGAACATAAGAGCCCACTATGTTTATTATTAGTGAATTGTAAAAAATAACATTCAACATGGTGCAACAAAATGCCATTGTATAACCTCTTTTTCAACAAGGTGTCCCCCAACTATACAGTAATTTCAGTTTCTTGAAAGCTATGACAACAGAAATAACACTGTTTAATGAATCTCTAATCGTAAACATCAGGTGAGGCATGAAAGGAAGAGGGGGGGGGGAGAGAGAGAGAGAGAGAGAGAGAGAGAGAGAGAGATGATCTCCAAAGTGATTTTGCCACTGTGCTGGAGGAGATCCAGGTAAAAATCCAAGTTGAAGAGAGATTCCCTATGGATGGTGAGCTCCTCCAGTGGTTTCTGTTTGCAGATGATATTTTCCTGATGGCATTGAGCCCCAAAACACTGCAGAGCCTCCTGGAAGTAATTCATAACCACTCAAGTTTCCACATTGGAAAGACCAAGTGAATAAAGAATGTTTGCTGCCCAGATTATGGTTTGCGATTGAGCAGATAAACTCTGGAGCAGCTAGGTGGCACAGTGGGCCTGGCGCCAGGAAGATTCATCTTCCTGAGTTCAAATCTTGCCTTAGAGACGTACTAGCTGTGTGACCCTGGGCAAGTCATTTAACCCTGTTGGCCTCAGTTCCTCATCTATAAAATGAGCTGGAGAAGAAAATGGCAAACTATTCTAGTATCTTTGCTGAGAAAACCCCAAATGGGGTCACAAAGAGTCTGAAATGACTAAATAACAACAACAGATAAACTCTTCTAAAACAGATAATGCAAATGGATAAGTTGAATCCAGAGTTGAGCTAGAGGAAGAGGGCTGGAGTGCCTTTGGGAAATTGAGAAGCATCTTTATGCTTCCCATGGAAATAAATGTTCATCTTCTTTATATTAACATTCTGCTGGTAGTGCTATGTGGTAGTGATACACATTCTCCAAAAGAACTAAAAATAAATATTACAAAGAGGGCAATACAGAGGCACATGGTGAGTGTGAATAGGCTTAAATATACAGTTAATGAAGAACTTTAAAGAAGAATGGCAGTAAAAGATGTCATAAAGGAAATGTGTGATAGGAAGAGAAGATAGGTTGGTCATGTGGGGAAGTTAAGTGATGACACAGGGACACTCATGTCTTCTTGATATCAGAGGAAAATGAGGAAAGCCTCCAGCACAACACATTGGATGGATTCCCTCTGGTGAACTTAAGGAAGGACATGGATGAAAGTTAAATAGGGCGAACAGGCATGGATGAGTTGTGATCTGCATCTTTGGAGAGAATAGCCAAATGGAGATCATAGAACCAGTTGAATATCTGAGTATTATATTCATGGTAAAGTGCAAAAGGCAGGCTGTGAATTGAGTTCTTCACAGTGAGTCCAGCACTCCAAGTAGTGTGGCTTGCAATTATATAGATTATATAGGAGTGGGAAGAGAAGGAAATGGCATGCCACTCCAGTATCTTTGCCAAGAAAACCCCAAGGGGTCACAAAGAGTTGGACACGACTGAAAAAAATGACTGGACAACAACAAAAGGAGTCCTAAAGATCTGGCCTGGATGCAGATGATTTCTATTCCTAAATTCAGGGATCCTCTAGGAAGAGTTGCTCTGAGGGGATTAGGACAGCAAGTGGTTGATTGTGGGAACTGAGTGAACCACACTGACTCCATCTTGAGACTCAGTTCTAGAGCTAGCTCAGTTCTCTTTCCATTCAATTATAAATCTAGTCCAATTTCTGTATTGTGAGAAAACTTTATTTAATTGTGGAAATCATGAGAGGACTTCATTGAATTGCTTGAACCTAGCCCTATGTGACTGGAAGTTATACCAGCTGTACTTGCTGCTTAGAGATCCTTAACTAAGGACCTAGGTTATGATGACCAGATCTGAAGATGGATGCTAGGAATTTTCTCACAATTATACATCTCAAGCAACTCATGTGTTATCTGAAAACTAGTTCCAAACTTGCTCAATCAGTTATTGTTTCTATGTTCGCTTGACTAAAAAACGCAGTTGGATGGAGTGGGACGCCTCTTTTTTTCTGATATCAGGGAATTGCACCTGTTCACTCTTCCCTTAAGCTGAGGAGGTCAGATCCTGATTTGTTAGGCAATTGGCATGCATTGCCTAATAAATTGATATGTTCAGAAGTTTTAGCCTTTGTTTCCTTAGTCCGTGCACCTTTTACATGCCGCAATTATAAGATGATGAGCCCAAATCACACATGCTATTCGCTAGCTTATTGTCCTCCATCAAACTCCAATTCTCCTCTACCTCTTGGAATCCCTAGATTCCTTCAAGACCCAGTTCAAGCATCACTTTATTCATGAAATTTGGTTTTTTTAATCTGCTGGAACTACCAGTGCCTCCCCACCCAAATTACTTTGTATTTATTTTAAATATATTTTGAATTAGTTTTATACCTACATGTTGTTTCTCTTGATAGAATGTAAACTTCTTGAAGACAGAGATTGTTTCACTTTTCTTTCACTTCCCATAACTAACCACTTGGAGGGAGGGAGGGAGGAAGGAAGGAAAATGATGGCAAAAACATTGATTAAAATGGACTTATTTATAAAGCATTGAGCTAAGTGCTGGGGATACAAATAGTAAAACAAGACAGACCCTGATCTCAAGGAGATCACCTCTATTAAGGGGACAAAACATATAGGAGGTTTCAGCTGCAAGTTAGTTGGGAAGGCCTATGGTCCTTAGAATGCAGTGGTAAAGCAAATGGTAATGCATCTTCTTTAATGTTATTTCCATTGATAAAAACCACATCCATTTCTGATATTGAACTATTTGATAGTGCCAAGGACTTTGGTGGCGAGAACTTTCTTTCCTCTTGTTTTCTTTCTTTTCTTCTTTCCTCTTTTCAGGAGCAGAGTTTAAAGAGGAGGCAGAAGCAATTACCAGTTCACATCTCCACAAGAGAAAATTTCCTGGATGGTTTCTGGGACCTGGAGTGAAAGCAGGGCTAGTGGTTTGGAGGATACCACTATTTCCAGTGCTTTTGTGTTTAGAGTTCTGGGCTGTTTCCACTGGGGTCTGAGGGAAGGTGGTGGTTAAGACATTGGAGATGACTTAACTATCTCAGCACACACCACCACCTGCTATCTCTCCCTCTGGATGCCATAGTGCTTCAGTTTATATTGATTTTGTTTGGAAGATCTTATCAAGTTCTTCAATAATTTCTCTACCTCTTCAACTGATGTATTGATACATAAACTACAGTCACTCTCATGGTGGTTGTTTTGCAAATGCCTATCATGAAGAGTACAAATAAGCCCTGAAATCACATTTCTTATTGCCATTAGGCATGCAATAACAGCTCCACCAATTCCATCTTTATCTCTCCAAGGATGTGAACCATCCTTCTATTTAGCTGCAATTTTCTTCCTTCTTTGGTTTTGTTTACAGTGGGACTGTCAAGATTGATATGACTGCTCCTCATCTACTCATTGATTATTGGCCATGGATTTCATGTTTATAAGACCAACAACTTATCTAAAATTTGTAGATCATCTAAACATTGTGATTCTTAACGTTCTTTACCACCTTTTCTGTCACTCTCCCACCATCAGGGAAAAAGGCCCCACAGGAATGGGGGCCATTTTGTATTTTTGTTTATTTCATAGATTGCTCTGGCCAAAGAAATAACCACGTGGCCAGCATACTGGTCTCTCTGTATTTAGAGGTAACGAGGCACCCTGCTTTCAGCTAGGATTAGCCAAGAAAAACAGTCTCATTCTGTTGCTGGGGGCCATGCTAGAGATTTTTCTAGCATGATAGAACCTGTCAGAGCTTACTAACTACCTCACAGAATTGTAGTGAGGATCAAATGAAATAACACGTGTAAAGTGCTTTCCAAATCTTAAAGCACAGCATAAGTGCTACTTGTTGTTGTTAACTTTTCTGGGCCTCCGCTTCTTCATCTGTAAAATGAGGGAGTTAGACTAGATGACCTTTAAACTCCTTTCCAGCTCTAGTTCTATTATCTTTATGATCTTCTGGCATCACCTTCAAGAGCCCAGAGCACCTCCGTACCAGAGGAGGCATGAAAGTCAAACCCTATGGAGAAGTCATAAAAATAGTCTAAGCCTCAGTTTCATCATCTATAAAAATAACAATGATGAGACCTATAATGCCTACCTCATAGGACTATAGTGTGGCTATAATTAGATGATGTATGTAAAGGGTTTTCCAAACTTAGAAGTGCTATATAAATTTCAGTTACTATTACTACCATTATTAGCACACATGAACCAAGTAGGTTTTTATCTAGGTCTACACCACCCTCAATGGCTGCATTGAAAGACTTTTTGACTCCCTGTACTGTGATATTTCCTAGCCTCTTGTCAAGGAGGATGTGTGGGCAGTCATGACAGGACATGTTCTTCCCACAGTAATGCTATTACTCAGTGCTTTGATCACAAATGAAATTTAAATTTTTCCTTTCATTAGATTGTATCACACTTGATATTAGAATTAAAACTTATGTTTTTAATTTTTCATTCCAAGATGGTCCTTCTTCCTCTTTTATAATCTAGGTATGTGGTATTTAGACACTCCATTATTATACTAAAATAGTAGCTAATTGCTCTGCAGTGTATGACATTGATTCATTAAATCCTCTAGTATGATATTGGCAAGACTAAACCATTTGAACAAATCAGCTTACTTATCACTGATTGTCTATTGTAATATGTATATTATAATATCCATCATCATACCCTTTTAGTAAAAATCAGATGATTAGTTTTTTTAAGTTGTTATAGAACTTTGTTGTTTTGTATTTTAAACACACATCCTCCAATTTAATAAGTAATAAATATTTTTCTTTCTCTGTTTGCTTCCTTTTTATTCCTTTTTCAGCACCTTGTATCAGTAGTGGTTTACCTAAACCAATCAATGTCACTTTCTCATCTGTAAACATGAAGAATGTCCTACAGTGGAATTCACCAGAGGGTCTAAGAGGAACTGACGTTGTTTATACTGTGCAGTATCTAATGTAAGTTTTCTGTTTGTTTGATTTTTCATTTTTACCATCTTTGAACAAGGATTCTTGTGATGTAAATGAAGAGAAACCTCTCATAGCGTGAAATGATGAGTCTTAAGTGAAGTGAAGTTAAGTGGTTCATTAAATTCTGATATATTTTTATGTTAGGGCAACTAGATGGCACAGTGGGTAGGCAGCAGGACCTGGATTCAGGAATCTTCCTGAGTTCAAATCCCCTCTCAGACATTTACTAGCTGTGTGACCCTAGACAAGTCACTTAACCCTATTTGCCTCAATTCCTCATCTGTAAAATGAGTGGAACAAGAAAATGCCAAACCACTCCAGTATCTTTGTCAAGAAAACCCCAAATGGAGTCACAAAGAGTTGGAAATGACTAAATAAAAGCAAAGTATTTTTAAGTTAAAGTAATAAAATGTTTTGGTTTTTTTCCATTAGATAAGTAGCATTGGTCCTAGTCAAGGGACAAATATTTAAGTGGAAAAGGATGGACAAAATTTCTATCCTTCACAAGTGAACAGGAAAATCCACCCATCATGAAACTTATTCATGGGCAGAAGTAGCTTAATGGCATTCCAAATATTCTTATGCCATATTAAATTTGGTGCAAAATCCTGAGCAGCAAAATCTGCCCTTCCTAATTTGCTGAATAATGATATTTATTACCCTTGGCCCCAGTGAAGTGGTGAAGAAATTCACCTCCTCCATTAGGTAGTAGAGGTGAAGGAATATAGGTACAAAATGTCATACTCACTGTCAGCCAAGATTACTGGGTTGGTAGTTTTACTTAATGCTTTTCTTTGTTACCAGGGGAAGCTTTTGATGTTAGGGGATATCCAAAAATGACTCTGAGATATAATGAAAAACATCATTTTTAAATGAGCACATTAAAGAGAAATATAGGCTTAAAGTACTCCTATGATTAAAATGGAACCTCTACCTAGTTGACCTTTTCTTATTGATTTAGAAATTTCTTAATTGGTGATTTAGAAATATAAAATGAGTTCTTGGATTCATATTTGAATTTATTCCTTAGTATCTATTCTCTACAAAATTCTCCTTTAGGTGGGGGTATAGGGCTTATTCTGATCCTTAGATGTTAATGTGATTGGAGGGCTGGGAATGGGGAGAGGATAATCTCAAGCATGATTTATACGAGCAAATACAGTTTTGATTGCACAACTAAAAAAAAAACTTGCAGATTTATCTACTATAAAGGAGTACTTATGTGTCTGTGCATGTTGCAAATCCATGTGAAAACATTTTAAGGCAAGCAACAATAGAATTGGGCAAAAAGTCACCAGACTCTGGCAAGCAGTGATGTTACATTGCCATTCAAATCAACTGAACCACCATTTGTTAATTGTAAGTCCCTAGAGGAGACTGTGTGGGTAAGTTGAGCTAAGACATGACTGCTGACCTAATGGAGCTGCCAGCCTACTGGGGGACACAACATGTACCTGATGAACTGCAATACAAAGTGATAGTTCCCAAGTGCCTATGATGGGTGTCTAGAACTCTAACCTGAGTAGGTGGGGTAGGAGTAGTCATTACTAACTGGGGGAATTATTGCATAAAATATAAAGCCAGTTCACAAGGATGGGGGAGTGGAGAAACTACATTTGAACTATAAGAATTTCTGCTTCTCATCCTGTCTGCTAAGTTGCTAGTTTGCTAGCTGCATTTGAAGTTAATTACTTGCTAATGCAGTGATTAGAAAGGAGATTAAATTTAACCTGTTGCTTATAAGTACCTTCATAAATTCACACAGAGATGAAATTAAATTGAGTTAGAGGGTAATTAGCTTTTTACTATTGAAGAATTGCCCTTCTCAATAATACAGCTAGAACTTAGCATTATACACTATACTGCATTGTATTTGCAATCATAGCTTGAAATTTCTCCTTTGATGTACTATTAGTACCATTTTGACTTCACATAACAGACCATAGGATCACAGGATTTGGAGCTGGAAGGGCCTTCAAAAAATCTTTTATTCCAGGAATTATTATAACATTATGACATGGACCCCATTGGCAGTCTGGAGAAGCCTATGGACCCCTTCTCAGAATAATGTTTTTAAATGCATAAAATAAAATAAATACAATTATGAAGTAAACCAATTATATTTAAAAAGTTATCAGAATTTTTTAAGTTTCAGATTCATAGATGCCCTGAAATCTATCTGTGGACCCCAGATAAGGACCTTGATCTAGTCCAAGGCCCTCATTTTACAAATGAGGACATTGAGGCTCCAAGCAATGAAGTGACTTGCTCATGGTCACCCAGGTAACAGTTAGCAGAGACAGGATTCCAAGTCATCCACTCTGACTCCAAATCCAGTGTTCTTTCCACTACGCTAGGTTCCCTCCCCATCAGGATCTTCTTCCTCCTCTCTCCCTATTCTCACCCCACTCCTACCCCAGGCTCAGATACAGTGTAATAGTTTTTCTCCACGTGTAACATTATTATTGACATGTTGGCTTAAATACTGCATAACTATCACCTTGTTCAGATATTGTCATTATCTTAATCCCTATAAAAACCTTTTCTTGCCATTGATGTTTGACACATTAGGGTTCATGCAGCGATAATAGAGATATGTCATTTTGGTTAGAGCAGAGGGCATGAACCTGGGATCTATTAACTTTTTAAAAATATTTTGATAACTGTATTTCAATATAATTGGGTTTCTTTGTAATCCAGTGAATTTTATTTTATGCATTTAAAAGCATTATTTTGAGAAGAAGTTGAGCTTGATAGTTTCTTTTGAGTTTTCATTTTGGTTTCACTAGACTGCCAAAAGAGTCCAATGCCAAAAAAAGGTTAAGAGCCCCATTGGTCAATAGGATCAGACTTTCACAGTTACGTCTTGGATGGCTTGGTAACTTTAACGCAAGTGACTGTACCCTTGCAAAATCCATACTTGAAATCTCTTGCTACCAAAAGTATAAATCTGTTTTGCTGAAAAGCCTAGTTTCCCTCAGCATAGTGGTGCCAGCTCTGTCCTCAAATCTTAAGCTCATGTGTTTTGGATGATGGTTCTTGTCTTGCAGAGTTTTTGTGTAACTACTATTTCCTTTATAATTTTTTCTGTTCAGTCATTTTTCAGTCATGTCTGACTCTTTGTGCCCACATTTGGCATTATTTTGGGAGATATACTAGGATGCTTTCACATTTCCTACTCCAGCTATTTTTACAGATGAAGAAACTGAGGCAAAAAGGGTTAAGTGACTTGACCACAGTCAGACAGCTAGTAAGCGTCTGAGATCAGATATGAGCTCAGGATGATGAGTCTTCCTGACTCTGGGCCCAGTGCTTTATCCATTGCGCCACCAAACTACCCTTTATAATTACTATATTATAAAAGCCAAATCTCAATTGCATAAACTCAGTTGCCTGTACTTTTAGAATGGGCAAAATGATAATGAAAATCCTCTTTCTGTATAATGTGAGGCATTTGACAGAAGGGATTTATGGGATGATTTGTCTGACCTTAATATAAATAGGAGCTATATGTTATACCAAGTGTCTATATAGAAAGTTTTCTTCTATCATAGAGTGGCTAATTGAATTTCATAAAATTTTAGAACAAGAACTAGAAAAGAATTCAGAGACCGTCTATACCAATCACTTTATTTTGTGTTTGAGGAAACTGAGGCCCAGGTCAACAAAGTGTCAAATGACTCTGGAAGGTCCCCTGACTCCAGACCTAGGGCTCTTTCCAGTTTGTGGATTGTCAAATTTAAGTGCATGGGAGAGTCAACTATGACAGGCAAGAGAAACCTCCCTGAATATAATACACTCACATTATAACTTTCTGTTATGTTTACCTATGCTCTTGTTTCCCCACTTCCAGTCTTACCACTAGATTATAAACTCCCTTCAATCAACTAATCAATCAACAAGTGTTTGTTAAATGTTTACTGTGTGCCAGGCGCTGTGCAGGGTACTAGAGTTATGAGGATGAAAATGAAATGGTTCCAGCCCACAAGAATTCACATTGAAGGGGGGAGAGACAAAATGTACGTATATAAGCATATATGGTACCTAATACGTACAGAATGAATACGTGGTAATTTGGGGAGATAGGGCACTGTGGGCTGGGTGGATCAGGAAAGACCTTGTCAAGAAAGTGATACTTGAGCTGAGCTTTGAAGGGAATTAGGAATTCTAGGAGGCAGAGATAAAGAGAGAGTGCACTTTTCTGCATGGGAAACAGCTCTTGCAAAGGCCCTGATCCTTGAGCACAGAAACTGTATCTGGCTTCGTTTTTGTATCCCTAGCATGTAGCACAGAGCCTTCGACAAAGTAGGCATTTCCAGACCTTGTAGCACATACCTATCACCCCAGCTACCAAGATGGCTGAAGCTCATGCGTCTTGAGCCTGGGAATTCTGAGGTGCATTGGGTTCTGCAGCTCAGGTATATGAATTAAGTACAGCATCAATATGGCAAGCCCCTGGGACCTAAGGAGGAAGGAACGGGCCTACTTTGGAAACAAAGCTGATCAAAGATCCCCTGTTAAATCAAAATGGAAACATACCTGTGAGTAGTACCTGCACACCCAACCTGGGTGAAATAAGAAGATCCAATCTTAAAAACAATCAATCAATGAATCAATCGATAAACATTTAAGTGGCTACTGTGTCACTGTGCTAAAAGCTGGAGATACAAAAAGAGGCAAAAGACAGTCCCCACCCTTAAGGAGCTTACAATTTAAAAACAGACTAGGTGTTTCATGAACACTAATTGAGTTTAACTGAGCTGCCTGCTGTGAAAGCACAATATACTGAGTGGACAAAAATGAGCACTTAGTTATTAAGCAAAATTTCTATCGTCTATAGCTAAATGAAGTTCTAATTTCACAAGTCTTACCCCATCATTAATGATTTGGTTTAGTGGGTAGGACATTGTGTGAAGAAACCTCAAAGTTAGTCTTATTTCCACCTCTGCCACCCCTTAAACAGCCTTTGGTTTCTCAGTCTATTAAATGAAAATAATAATCCCTATTCATCCTACCTCACACAGCATAATTAGGAAGATAATAGGTGTAAAAACCTTATTATTATTAGTTTCAAAATAATTTCGGTGGATTCTGGCAATGAATTTCTATTGGATTTTTTTTTTACATCAAGCAAGCTTAAAAATTATACAAAATGTCCAAGGTACAGAATCCTTAAGCCAGCAGCAATAATTGTTCAGGAGTAGGATGAGACTACTTTTTCTTATACCATCCAAGTGACCATAGTAAAATGATGACTAAAAACTGGCATATGTCATTACCCCTTAATTAGATCACACAATACGTAAGACTCATACTGTAGTCCAAGAACATTAAGAAATTTCTACTATCCAAGTGATAATTCGCAGAAGAGAAAAGGAATGACGAAAACACTGACTCATTCACCTGACAGCAAATGAAGAAAATGCTGGCAGCAAAAGTGGATTCTTCTCTGTCTCCATGACAGACGCCTTTGGGGTTTTGTTTTGTTTTGTTTTGCTTTTGTAAATAGTATTTCATTTTTTCCAGTTACATGTAGAAATAGTTTTCAGTGTTCATTTTTATAAGATTTTGAGTTCCGAATTTTTCTCCTTCCCTTCCTTCTCCCCTTCCCAAGACAGTAAGCAATCTGATACAGGCTATACGTGTGCTATTGTGGAAACATTTCCACATTAGTCATGTTGTAGAAGAAGAAACAAAACAAAAGGGAAGAGCCACAAAAAAGTGAAAATAGTATGCTTCAATCTGCATTCAGGCTCTGTAGTTTTTTTCTCTGGATGTGGATAGCGTTTTCCATCATGCGTCTTTTGGAATTGTCTTGGATCATTGTTTGCTGAGAAGAGCTAAGTCAATCATAGTTGATCATCTTATTGTGTACAATGTTCTCCTTGTTCTGTTCACTTCACTCAGCATCAATTCATGTAAATCTTTCCAGGTTTTTCTGAAATCTACCTGCTCATCATTTCTTATAGCACAATAGTATTCCATGACATTCATATACCACAACTTGTTCCCCAATTGATGGACATTCCCTCAATTTCCTATTCTTTTCCACCACAAAAAGAGTTGCTATAAACATTGTTGTACATGTATGTCCTTTTCCCTTTGGGATCTCTTTGGGATATAGACCTAATAGTGGTATTGCTGGATCAAAGCATATACATAGTTTGGTTGTCCTTTGGGCATAGTTCCAAACTGCTCTCCAGAACAGTTGTATCAGTTCACCACTCCACCAATAGTGCCTTAGTGTCCCAGTTTTCCCACATCTTCTCCAACATGTATCATTTTCCTGTTTTATCATATTAGCGAATCTGACAGGTGTGAGGTGGTACCTCAGAGTTGGTTTAATTTGCATTTCTCTAATCAATAATGATTTAGAGCATTTTTTCATATGACCCTGTAATTTTAGTGTATGTAATATAGATTTTTGTTATTCTTTCTTATAGTTTAGTTCCCAGGCTCCATGGCCATAACAATCTCTGGTTTCCAGGTGTTAGGTAATATTTCCCAGGCTCATGACTTGTAAACATCTCCACCATGCTTGCACAGTGAGATACAGGGATGAGGTAATATAAAACTTGTGAGGCTATTGCTGGCAATATGCCTTCTTTGTCTGTTGCCCTATAAAGCAAGTGGTCACTGGTCAATGAGTGAGGAACCCATTTTGGGATTTGGGTAATGCATAGAGAAATGCATGTACCTGCCTTGATCAGCCCCCATTACAGCTTGGGAGGAATCTGTGTGCTTGCCTCAAGCGGCCCCCATTGAGGCATTAGGGGACCTGTAGGAGTTATAGCTCCTACCGTTCTTGCCCGCCCCTGCAAGAAGAGTGATTAGGAAATGCGGTAGGAGGTAGTGCTCCTATTATCAGCAATCCTCTTGAGAAGACTAGACTAGAATAAAGTAAGCTTATTTAACCCCTCCGAAGCTGTCTTTCTGTCTTCCTTTCTGCCTGGATCAAGAGTGAACCTGTTAGAGGCTAGAGTCCCAAAACTCCAGTGTCTCCTGTGTTATTACCTGTCCTAACAGACTCCTTTATTGTTGTTGTTTTTTTTTTACCAGAGAGCATGTCCTAATTTCTAGTCAGTTTTAGGTTACAACTGTTTTGATTGGAATGAGCAATGGGCTCATCATGCTCTGCTCTCTCCTTATGCAGATATGGCCAAAAGAGATGGCTGAATAAATCAGAATGCAGAAATATCAACAGGACCTCCTGCGATCTCTCCTATGAGACTTATGACCATGAAGAACAATACTATGGGAGAGTTAAGGTCATCTGGGGAAAACATTGTTCCAAATGGGCAGAGACAGAACGATTTAATCCTTGGTTAGAAAGTAAGTAACATAGTTAAACAATCAGAGGTTATAAACAGAATGCAGAAGCAATTATTTTCAGGGCACCCACCACCATCTTTTTATATCTCTACTTTGATCTACTGATGCCTAAAAAAAATCAGCCTTATAGAGAAAATGAGGTCATTGAATTCGAGGTGTCAGGAGATCTGGATTCTAGTTCTGCCCCTCCCACAAATTTGCCGTGTGACCTTATCAGGGGTGGGGAACCTGTGGTCTTGAGGCCACATGTGGCCCTCTAGGTCCTCAAGTATGGCCTTTGGCTGACTCCAGACTTCACAGAACAAATCCCTTTCATAAAACGATTTGTTCTGTAAAACTTGGACTCAATCGAAAGGCCGCACCCAAGGACATAGAAGGCCACATGTGGCCTTGAGGCTTCATGTTCCCCACCCCTGCCTTAGACAAATCACTTTTTAACTTTGTTAGGTCTCAGATTCTCATTTGTAAGATGAAGGGATTGGACTTGAAATGTTTTAAGGCCCTGCTATTCCTAAAATTCTAATCTTGGATACTTTGATGAATCTGTGATGTGATCAGTATGGATACTGCCTTCAGCAATGCAGATCACAACCCATCTAGGCTTTCTCATTCTTTATGGCTTTTGTCCATATCTTCTCATAAACATTCCACAGGGAGGGTGGCCCAGTATCACAGGATCATAGAGTGAGGGCTGGAAGGGACCTTCAATTCAAACCTTGTTCAGTCATGTCTGACTCTTCGTGGCCCCATTTGGGGTTTTCTTGGCAAAGATACTGGACTGGTTTGCCGTTTCCTTCTTCAGCTCATTTTACATATGAGGAAACTGAGGCAAACAGGGTTAAGTAACTTGTGCAAGGTCACATAGCTTCTAAGTGTCTGAGGCCAGATTTGAACGTATGAAGATGAGTCTCCCTGAGTCCAAGCCCAATACTCTATCCACTGTGCCACCTAGCTGCCCTGGAAGGGACCTTAAAAGTCTATTGAATCCAATCCCTTCATTTTACAAGTGAGGAAATCAGTAAGTATTAGAGAGGTTCAATGATTTCTCTGAGGTCACACAGGGAGTGACAGGTTTTGAACCCAGGTCCTCTGACTCTAAATCTTTCACTGTATCACACTTAGCCCATCCCTAAATCTCCTGACATTGCATAAAAAGAGCACGCAAACATTAATCAGTTATGTCTCATACTTCACACGTGACTAGCCCACCTCTTTTTCAGTCATACATACCTCTCTCTGATAATGTCCTTTATGACAGAGGTATCAAACTCTCCCCTCTGCAGACTACCACACTCTCAGTGTGGCTCAAACCAGATTGAAATGTAATTGGGAAATGTTTAAGAAGATAAATAAAAATGCAATACAACATAGATAATGTCATTTTGTGGCTTTTCCAAGTCAATATACAGCCTACAGGGATCTAGGTTTCTATTTGACTTTAAAACCATTGCTTTTTGCCACTTTTTTTTATGCAATTCCTTATTGATCCCATGTTGCAGACTCTCTCTGCCCATCACACACCTCTCTATGTCCCTTAGGTGATTCTTAGCAAAATTTCCAAATTGAAGAGGAATTCCCAATAAAAGTTGTGGTCCCTGACATACTTCTTTCTGTTTGGAAATGACATTATGCTGGAACATTGCAAAACTTCTTAAATTAGGTTTAGAATCACCCTCCCAAATTTCAGTCTAGCTACCCACATGGAAAAAATCTGATGAAGAATGCTTTTTGCCCAGGCTTTGCTATACATGTGAACAATCCATGAAGCTGGTCCATCAGTACATACATCTTAAAAGAACACTAAAGATAGACAAGGAGAGGGCCCAGAATTAAACAGGAGATGAAGACAGACTAAATTGCCCTTGGGAAATCACACAGAGCTTTTAGTGACTCAAGGCTTCTCTTTGAAACAAAGGGTCATCTTTTTAACATCAGTACTCTTCCAGTGATGCTGTTTGGCTACAAGTCATGGAAAACTAGTCTCTGAAGAATTAAAATTTAAAATCTCTTATGAACCAATTGAAAAGAATGCCGATTTTACCTTTATTTCTCCTTTCTGTTTAGCACAGGCTTTGTGACTTTTGACTTGAAGGCAGAAAAGTTAAAATAAAAGACTTATAAAATCTCTGTATTTATTTTCAAGTCTGGACCAAAGTATCATAGTCATCAAACTTGTTGAGCCTTCCCATAAGCAGTATAGTTATCAGCCCATCTCCCATTTGTCCCTCTATACTGACCAGTAAAAATTATTCTCCTTCCAGGTCAAATTCAAAATCTGAAGTGGAATCTGCTTTAACAAAATAATAGCTAACAATTATATAGTGCTTACTATGTGTCAGGCACTGTGCTAAGAGCTTTTTACAATTATTATTTCATTTAATCCTCATAACCCTAGAAGGTAGGTGCTTAGTATCTGGAGTTTGGATTCTTCCCTACCCTAAACTTCCTGTCTCTTATTTCTAGGGATATAAGATTTTCTACTCCAGTAGCCCTGAGAAACCTCCCAATTACACCTCAACCCACCTACTTTTCTCTGTGATGCCCCAAACCCTGGTCCTAGTTCCTTCACTCATATCCCAAGAGGTCTTCAGTAAACTGCTCTATTTCTCCATGTCTCAGTTTCTCTACCTGTAAAATCAAGCTGCTTTTATTTGTTCCCTACCCTTTTGACCACAAGAATGCTGCAAAACTTTGGTAACTGGTGTTTTTGTGAGAATTTTTCTTGATCTTGAATTATCATCAATTAAATGTTTACTGAGGTTTCTGAAGTTATTTTAGAAAAGTGTTATCTAAATACAAAACACACAGATATTCTTTTAACTTAATCTGAAGTTCGGGGTCTGTGAAATAGTGATTTTTCCCTTCCAATGCTACAGCTTTGTGAGAGCACAGAACATGAAATATGTGGGTTCACTTTGTATCCTGTACATGACAGGTTATTTAACCAAAATGGCACAAAGGGTCTCATGATTGCCTTTATGATGTGATTGTGTACCGTGCAGTTTTTTCAAGCTTTCAGTGTAGTATTACTTTTAGCAATTAGATTAACCTATTTTTCTATCCATCTAGCACAAATTGGCCCCCCAGTGGTTGCTCTGACTCCTGGTGAGAAATCAATTTCAGTTGTTCTGACAGCCCCTGAGAAGTGGAAGAGAAATGCAGAAAACAATTCTGTATCCATGCACCAAATCTACCCCACTCTGAAATATAACGTATCAATCCACAACACCAAAGCAAACAAAAAGGTAAATTCAGAGTGAGGATGAAGCAATGTGTATGATGTCTGCATTCCATGTAACTCAGTTCTTGTAGGTAACTTTATCACTTTGCTCTGTGTGTGTGTGTGTGTGTGTGTGTGTGCTTGTGCGTATGTGTGATAGGCACTTTGCATTTTCAAATATAATTTTTAAAAATGTTGCGCATTATTTCTTTTTAAAAAAATTTTATTCTTTATGCAGCATTTATTTGGGGGGGGCATGTAAATGATGAGTGAAAGTGATGCCAAAGGTGACTTGCGAAATGACTCCTGCTTTTCTTCTCTAGATAAACTCCCCATTAACATGGCAAGACCTTGCTAATGGAGTCAGGTGTAGCAATCAGAGTTATGAAATATGTGGACCTATCTTCTTTGTGTAATGCCCACTAGTTCCTCACACTGAAGGCTGAAAAATGCTGGCAAGAACCAAGAAGGGAGATTTGGATAAGAATCACCCAGGGCATTATCATTTGTAGTTACTTCTACCTGATTCCTGTCCATGATACATGGAAACTATATTTAAAAGAAAATGATGGTAGAAAGGTGATATAATTTGTTTTCTTAAGAGCTTACAGTGATGGGGAATTTTATTATTTCTTATTCTTTTATTGCTTTTCTTCTATGGAGTCATATTTGCCTATGAATCATCATCATTATCACTTATTCAATTACAAAAAGTCATTTTATCCAACTGTGTAATAATCCTCTAAACATTCAATACAAAAGAACAATGATAAGATAGTGACCTATCCCTGGACCATTTCTATTTTATCTCAATTAAATATAAGATGAAAAGAATAAGAACATTTTTTTGAAATAGTAGTAGCTAATATTTATATAAATTCTTTAAAGCTCACAAACCATCTTATATGCATTATGTCATTTGGTAATAATAGCTAATAATAATAGCTAACATTTATATAGCACTTACTGTGTTCCAGGCTGAATAGAGAACTAGCCTGGAGCTAGGAAGGCTCTTCTTCTTGAGTTCAAATCTGGCCGCAGACACTTACTAGCTTAGCTATGTGACTCCAGGCAAGCCACTTAACCCTGTTTGCCTCAGTTTCCTCATCTGTAAAATGAGCTGGAGAAAAAAATGGCAAACCACTCCAGTATCTTTGCCAAGAAGATCCCAACTGGGGTCACAAACAATCGGACACAACTGAAAAACAAACGTTTCAGGAGCTGTGTAAAGTGTTTTACAGTTATTATCTCATTTAATCCTCATGACAACCCCATGAGGTAATTATGACAGGAATTATTCCCATTTTACAAATGACAAAACTGAGACCTGTCCATGGTCACAAAGCTAATAAGTGTCTCAAGCCTGTGAGGTTTTTACCACAGGTCTTTCCCCATTTTACTGATGAGGAAAATAGAGATTCAAAGAAGTTATGTGACTTGCTTGTGGTCACAGAGCTAGTAAATAAGTGTCTGAGGAGAGATTTGAACCCCGGTCTTCCTAAATCCAAGTCCAGCTTTCTAGCTACTACAGCATGTTTTCTATGAAATTGAGCTCTAGAAATCCCATTTGCAATTTCCTCTTCTAGTGGTACAAATTTGTAACAAACCATACCTTGGAGTTTCCCCAGCTGGAGTCAGATACCCTCTATTGTATCAGTGTGCAAGCCTATGTCCAAGGACCACTTCGAAAGGCTAAGGCTTCAGATAACCAGTGCATCACTACCTTGAAAGGTATGTAAAAAAATCTCAGTGTGTGAAAAAGGAAACTTGATAAAATCAAACAGAAGTTGAATTATGGGGCTGCTTTATCTAAGCAAGGGCAAGGTTCAGCAGGGTATAGTGGAAAGAACACAGGCTCTGGAGTCAGGATACATGAGATCATACCCACCTCTGATACTGAGTAGAAGTTCTTCATCTTTCACTTATCGCCTGTGGGACTTTGGGCAAATCACTCCATCTACCCGTGCCTCAGTTTCCTCATCTGTAAAATGAAGGGGTTAGACTACATGGCTTCTGAGATTCCTTTCAGTTCTGTATCTATGCTCATATGGCAAAAGTGATAATTACCTGGAACATAGCAACCATTATTCTTTGCTGTAGTTGCTATCTAATCTAAAAGGATGCTTTCAAGCAGAAAGTGGATTGTGATAGGGAACAGATCTCTGATTTCACTCCTATAGGGAACTCCCTGGTGAAGAAACTCCTCCTACCAGTTCAGATCATCAGCACCTCCTCTACACCTTAAAAGTCTTAGCAAGTTACCTAGAGCAACAATAAAATCTTGTGATCCATTTCCCACATTACCCAAGAATCTTTGCACTTATTCCCTGAATCTCTGTCACCCAACAAACCACTCTCCTGATCTGTTCCTCTAAGCCAAAGAAAGAGTCATGATGCCTTTTATTTGGGCTTTTTTCCAAATGACTCTCTTAGGCATTATCTCCCCCTGCCATCTCGGAACTGTGTGGGTTTGTCTGTCTCTGTTTCTTTCCCTAAAGCTTCATGCTCTTGATCACATTTTCAGGGTTAGGAATAAGAGCTGAACTGACCCTTTGAGGCCAGCTAGTTGAACACTTTCATTTTTCAAATGAAGAGGACAGAGAGCAATTAAGTGACTTGTTCAAAGATACACAGGTAGCAAAAGGCAGGATTCTAACTCTGGTCATAGAATTAGAGGGTCCTAGATTTAAAACTGGAAGAGAACATAGCAGTCAGTTAGCTAATCCCTTCATTTTACAGATAAAGATACTGAGACACTGAAAGGTTCAATGACTTCCAAGGTCACAGAGGTAAAAGCAGCAGAGCCAAGCTTTGAACTCATGTTCTCTGTTCTAAATCCAGCACTGTACCACATTATCTCCCTATGGATTGAGGCAAATGGTTTTTTAAAAAATATGTACCGTATTTCCTTAACTATTTTCCCTCCTAATATATTCTACTCTAATCTCCTATTTTGGGAATAAAATAAATAAAAGCATTCACTATACCTATGCCCCTCCCCTTTAAACAATATGTACTATTGTCATAAGTGATTCCTTGGGATTTAACAGTAGATGAGATACTATGGAAAATACATATGAAGTACTTGTGTTCAGAACACTCTGCTAGTAACTGAGAGACATACAAACCTTAGATCTGACTGGGTTCCTGACCTCAAGGAGCTCCTTATTCAATCAGGGGATACACAGTAGCACAAATAATTTAATACACAACATTATATGGTAATTGAATCACGAGTTACAAAACAAGGGGCAGCTAGGTAGCGTAGTGGATAGAGCACCAGTCAGGAGGATCTGCGTTCAAATCCGGCCTCAGACATGTAACACGCACTAGCTGTGTGAACCTGGGTAAGTCACTTAATCCCAATTGCCTTACCAAAAAAAAAAAAGTTACTTAACAAGGGGATCAGAAAGGCTTTCTGGATGAAGTGGCATTGAGTATCAATCAGTATAAAAGTGGTAGATAGAATAAGTGCTAGGGAACACCTTTTATGTAAAGCAAAATATTCTTGGATGTCACCAAGAAGGTAAAAGGTTAAATTAAAAGCACTTCTGGTTTTTTTCTTTCCTCTTGACTCTCCCTGGAAACAGTTGACTTTAAATTGTAATTACCAGGTTGCATGAAACCTTATATTCATCTATGAGAGATACTAGAACAATAGATGTTATAAGTAGTGCAACCTTAATCTGAAGCTTATAGTCTAATGGAAGAAAACAAGACATAAAGAGGACCTAGGCAGGGTTGGGGATGGGAGTACACATGAGTTGGCATGCCATGGAACAGCACAGGAAATGACATGGAGTTGCACCACAAAAAAATATAAGGCTAAAGTTCACCTATTAGAGTGGAGAAACCTAGAGGAGAAATCAAGTTTAATAGTTAGGGGGAAAGGGAGGTGGAGGTGATGGTCTGAATGTAAAAAGGCATGCTGTCATTCTAATAACTCGAATCCATGTAGCATCTTACAATTAAAAGTACTTTTACACACATTTTGTCACTGAAGCCTCACGAAGTGAAGAGACTAAGGCTCAGGTCCATCAGTTCCTCCAGCTCCAAATCCACTGCTTTCTTCTGCAAATCAGGGCTAGATTTCCAATTCCATTTTCTTTCCACTCTATCCCGACTCTTTTTTTTTTTTTTGCTTTTAGGCAATTGGGGTTAAGTGACTTGCCCAGGGTCACCCAGCTAGTAAGTGTCAAGTGTTTGGTCTGAGGTCGGATTTGAACTCAGGTCCTCCTGACTTCAGGGCCAGTGCTCTATCCACTGCGCCACCTAGCTGCCCCTCTACCCCGACTCTTAACTGTTTTTTTCTTTTTCTTGACAGATCAAACTTCAGAATTAAAAGTCAAAATCATCCTTTGTTATATTTTGCCCATTTCTGTTACAGCCTTTATTTTTTCAATAATAGGCTGCTCCATGTACCGATATATACATATTGGCAAGGAGAAACAACCAACCAACTTGGTAAGCTCCTATCATCCAACAACACCAAATAGAATGGCAATCTTTTGATCAAAAGGCAGCTTGGCATGGTGGGCAGAGAGCTTACCCCAGAGGAAGACCTGAGTTTGAGCCCTACCCCGAACAGAGGGACAGCAGCAATGGCAGATTGGCCCCTAATTAACAGCTTCCTTTATAAGTATCCCCTAGAGGCATTGCCATGGATAATTAAAGGTTGACTAAAATTCACAATATTTTTGTTTTATTTTCATCGTCATTATGAAATAAGGGAGGAATGTGTAATTAATGAAAAATGAGCACGTGGCCACACTGGCTAACTGGTGAGTGAGTACCCTTTTTTGTGTGTCAGATTCCTCCTCTTTAAAAGATTGCACCCTTTCTTGGGATTTAAAGGGAGATTAATGGGTTAATATTAGTGAAAAGCTCCCAGGGCCTCTGGCCATGGTTTTGAATGGATAGAGAGCAATGCTGTTCTTCCATTGTTAAATCTTGTTTGTGTGTTCAGCCACATAAATAAGTCATGGTAATTATTGTTCAGAGGTGAGATTGTGGGTCCAGATGCATTGAATCAACTGAGGTAAACATTCTGTGCCCACTTCATCCATGCTATTTCTAAGAAAGCCTGGGACTTTTGATCTAAATGGCAGTGAGACTTTGAGGTATCATTTGTTCAGGTCATAATTGCCACTGCCAGAGTTGGGTAAGAGTTGATCTTGAAAAAAAGGGATCTGATGAAACCAAGGTTTCTTTTAAATAAATGTCCATTTTAAATTTTTTAGAAAGGTTTTTTGTTGTTGTTGTTGTTTTAAATTCTGTTCCCCTTTTTAGGTGTTGATTTATAGAACTGGATATGACCAAAGACTTTTTGCACCTGCTGAAAAAGTAGTAGTTAACTTTATTACCTTCAGTATTGTAGAAGATGCCAAAACTTCCTCAAAGGATCTGAGTTTAATGGAAAGGGTCAATGACATTTCTGACGTGAGCACTGCTGAAAATATGGAGGGCAAGAGCCATCAGGAGGAACCGGAAGTGAAGCACTTGGGTTATGCTTCAAAGGCAATGGACATTTTTTGCGACAACAAATGCCTTTCTCCAGTTCAACCAGGATTACTCTGTAGTTCAAGAACAAAGAATGAACCAGTCATAGAATATGAGTTTGATGTGAGGCCCAGTGATACTGGTACAGATGATCAGGATCAGGAGATTAACTTGCAAGAAGGAATATCCTTTCAGGGCAAACTAATGCTTGAATCAGAGACTACGTTAGCAAATTTTGACCAGGAAGCATTACTCTGTTCATACAATCCACAGCTAAGAAATCTCCAGCAGGGAACACGGGAAGACACAGAGACAAAGAAGAAGCAAGAGGAAGAAGAGGAGTCAAGGACGCTAGTGGACTGGGATCCCCAGACAGGGAGACTATGTATACCATCTCTATCTGACTGTGGACATGTGGTAGATGAGGAAGGAGGTGCACACTCTGAATATGACGGGTATCCAAATGAGGGACTTTTGTCAAAACTTTGTGATGCACAAGCCCCCAACAAATCACCCCCAGGAAATGAAACCTATCTTGTGCAATTCATGGAGGAATGGGGACTACACATCCAAATGGAAGACTAGCTTTAGAAACGTAGTTTATTTGTTACGTCAATATTGTTGTGAGGCATGCACATACAGGCAGATGAGTTCAACTACACTAAAATAAATCACTCAAGAAAAAGATCAGTTTTTATAAACAGATTTTCCTCTATAAGTTCAAAATATTTTTAAGTTTTTTATATTTTCCCCAATTATATATGTAAAAACAATTTTTAACCTTTTTTTTTTTTAACAATTTTGAGTTCCAAATCCCCTCCCACCTCCCTCATTGAGAAGGCAAGCAATTTGATAAAGGTTGTATATGTGCAGTCTTACAAATAAGTTCATCCAGTTGTTATTGGGTAACATTTTCTAATAAGCCCATTGACACCAACTCTTTGAGTACCTATTAGATGCATGGGGCTGTGTGTGTATCATTAAAGGTCATCCTAAAGTTCTTTGTATCATTAATGAAGTATTTAATAGTAATATCAGTAATAATTCATGTCTCTGTTGTGTTGAAAAGGCTCCTTTTTTATAGGAGCTGTTGCTCTAAGGTAGATATTGTTGTACAAGTGTTATTGTCCTCAATTTCAAATTGAATTTAGAGAAAGAGCCCTAGGAGATGCTTCTAAAAGAGATCCACCAATCAATCGGTGACAAATGAATTGCAGGAAACATTCTCATCTCACTGCTGTCATTTACAACCCAGTTTTCCTCCTGGCCAAGTAAATAGGTTACCTCCATTCAACATTTGTAATTAGGACCACAAAATTTTCATTAACAGTCTTACACTGACTTTTAAGTCTTTCAAACATCACACTGAGTCGGGCATTTACTAATAAGAATTGTCCGTTATACTTAGCCCCTCACAGGTAACAAAAAATATTTCACGTGCTGTATCTCATATGATTCTTAATGAGTTCTTTCCTGGTGTATGTGAAAGTCCATTGAATTTTATTATTATTCCTTTTCAATTAAGAATCCTTTTTAGATAATTAATAAATACTATACTTTTGCTGTTGTTAATCAGCTCCACTGTGTAAAAGAAAGGCCAAATCCTATGCTAAAATATTATATTTATTTCTGAAGTTATATTTAGGAGAAATATTTGCTGCTAAACTGCTCTGGGAGTTGAGCTATCATGTTACAGTTATAATATTAAGTGCTCCTTGAAGTGGGGAGAAAGAATCTGTCTTGGTTTTTATTTTGGTATCCTCAGCATCTAGCTGAGGTGCTTGCACATAGTAAATGACTTGCATGTAGTAAATGTTTAATACATGTTTGTTGAAATGAAGTATCCATTGCTTTTTGCAAATAAATCACATATCAAGCAAAGCTAACATAATGGTGATTTTTTTCTACTTTGTAATTGAATCTCCTATGACATAAAACAATATCTTTCAAACATCGAGAGACTTCCAATAAATGGCAAACTATTGGTGATCTTTAGAAATGGAGAGGCTGAAGGAAACTCAGTGGCAGATGAGTATAGATGAGGGATCAAATTCAACCTCAAAGGACATGTTGAGCTTGATGAAGTTTTTCTCATCAAGCCAGGACCATTGCCACAATGAGGCATTTGGAAGCTCTGTACCCTCTGTTGATACCAGGGCCTTTCACCGCTTAGTTACTATCTACTTACGTGGTAATGAGGAAAACTCTGTAGCAATTTGAAGGTTCTGTAATATTACTCTAGCATTTCTAGAATAGCAGCATCCACTTTGTTTCCTCGTACTGCTGCCTCAGAATTCTCATGCTGAATCAATGGAGGGGGGATGGACAGAGGAAGAGACATAATAGTGTCCTCCAGCTGGCATAAGAACCATTTGAACCACTGATGGCTGGCTTGATATTTGACTAATGGCTTAGACAGGTGATGACATTAATTGAAAGAGAGGAGTAGAAAAATCTCCTTTCACCATTTCCAGGGCCCCATTAGTACACAATTTCTCCATACAGCCCTACATTGAGCTATTTAGGGTGTCCTACCACTTCATTTGGTCTTAAAATAAAACTCTAGGTCACAGCAAGGAAGCAGGAAAAAGTTTGCCACCAACTTTTTTCCTCTGTGACAGTTTCTCCTCAGGTCTTTGAATGAGAAAAAAGGACTTTAAAAAAAATATATGGGATTAGTATAGTATATGAGGGATGGTGCCTTAAGGAAGGAATATAGGACAAAGATCCTTAGTTCTGTCTTGCCTAGAATAGCGCTGCTAAGTGCATAGCACTTGTACTGTGCCCCAGCATTTAGAACAGTGCCTGACACATAGTAGGCACTTACTAAATGCTAGATGACAAAACACCTTTAAGGTTTTTTGCATGGCTGTGTCACTAGTTGCTAGGGACATCATGGAAGTTAAAAGGAATTCATTCTCCTAAACCAACATAACCATGAGGGGACTTGGTAGAATTGTTGACCTTTTTTGCACTGCATTCTTTCTGTTTTAACAAAAGCTCCCATCACCCTTTAAAAGTGGTAGACTTTGCCCTTAATTCCCTCCAGTATAGCAAAGGTCCCCATCTTTTAGATTATCTTGACTCCATTTTTCCCACATCCATGAGTTTTTTCCTCCTATTACTTCACAATCATACATTTCAAGCCAGTGGTTCTCCAGCAAAGTGTGATGATCCCCAAGGACCTTCCAGTGTCTCATGAACTGTTCCAGTATGGTATTAAGTTTAAAATATTACACAGCCCACACATTGGTTTCTAGCATTTATTTTTGTTGTTGTTTAGTCATTTCAGTCGTGTCTAACTCTTTGTGACATTATTTTGGAATTTTATTGACAAAGATACTGGAGTGGTTTACCATTTCCTTTTCCAGTTCATTTGACAGACAAAAAACTGAGGCAAACAGGGTTAAATGACTTGCCCAGGGTAAGTTTATGAGGCCAGATTTGAACCCAGGAAGACTCATCTTTCTGACTCCAGGCCTTTATCCACTTTATCCACTATGCCATCTAGCTGCCTGTTGCATTTATTTACAATTTTTAAAAAATCTACCACTTAATTTGATTTTCATCCTAAGTAGCCTCACATGCTATAAGAATTCATAATAGTGGTAGTGATGACTTCTGAAGTGCCAAAACCTGATCCATGGACCCCTATGATCTTTGCATGTGGATCACAGACCAAGATAATTTCAAGACATATTGTTTTAGATAATCTCATCAAAAATATTCCCTTCCTTTCAAACATTTTGTACCATAACCTATGAGAATTCAAAATACAGTAAGCGTATAACGTTTAGCAGCCAAAAGTAATTTACAGGAAAAATAGGAGGAGAGGGGAAGAGACTGTAGTCTATTCACTGAAGGGGAAGCCATGTAGATAAATATAGTTGGATTGAAAAAAAAGGACAGTGCCTAATTTAGGGTGTTTCCCTCCAAAACTCCAATCGAACATGTTTCTATGGCTCTTTCTCTATAACAGTGCTGTGAGTAGGTGGCACAAGTATTATATCCCCATTTTACAGATGAGGAAGTTGAGTTTAATTGACTTGCTCTGGTTGACCCAGGTAGTAAGTATAGGAAGCCAGAATCCAAACCCCAGGTCCTCTAATTCCAACTACAGCACATTTTCCACTATAATTCATTGACTTCCCTTCTATCTGTACATTAGAGTCCCAAGCCAATATCTTTTGGTGGTATGACAGATTTAGTGACTTTTTAATGTCACAAAAACAGAATGTTTCAGTTGTATTTCTTTCTCGCATTGTGAGCATATTAATAGTAATAAAATATGAATATACCATGAACACCAATTTTACAGGCAAATACTTTCTCAAAAGACATATGTACTGTTCATTAGTGGGCACTCAGATATCAGCAGCACAGGGAGTCATCTATGGATTATGTACTGTGTTGCTTCTTCTGTAACCTTTCCCAGAAGCCCCATCCACTCTGTTTTCACAGTATAGGGATTCCAGAAACAATCTCTAGGCCTTTGGCTCAAATGGAAACTGAAATACTAAAAAAGGAAATCGTATCTTTGGAAAGTATTATTCACCCATCCACCAACTGGCCTGCAATGATAGGTTTTTCTAAACCTCCTTTCATGACAGATAACTTTTATTCCAGTTCAAAATCTCTAAATAAACTATATGTTCAAGAGTTGGAGGATAGAACAAACTAGTATAAATTAATGTGATTGGTGTAGGAAACTCCTAGTGTGAAATTTTCTTCTATCAATACAAGTAATACTAAAAAATTAAGTGATTTGTCCAGGGCCAGAGCCATTATATATCAGAAGCAGGACTTTGAATTCAAGTCTTTCTGACTTAATAGATGGTCCTCTAATCACTATGCCAAACTGCTTTTCAATGAAGCATTGTAATGCTATAAAAAATAATACATATGAAGCTATCAAGGAAATATTGATATGCCTACATGAGGTGATGCAAAGGGAATCAGAACTAAATACATATTCACATGTGTGTGTATGAATTGGATTGTGTGTGTATGTATATGTTGGAGTATGTGTATAAATGGAAAGAGAGATGGAAGGAAAACACAGCCAAAGGTGGCAGAACTTCAGGCAGGCTTGGAAAGGGACAGAGAGTAACATTTTCATTTCCTGCTTGTGCTTTGCTAATTCGTTTGCTTCTGCTCCTTTAAAGGCTGAGGATTTTGCTTGTTTGAACCTTGTTTTATATGTATATTTGATTACTATTGCTGACAATGGATGCATTTGTAATTTTTAAAAAGTAAATCCCTTAAAGATTTCCATATCTCATAAATCCTTCAGAGGTTAACTATCACACTACTCTATTGGCAGTTTTTTGACAGTGATGTGGCCTTTTTCATTAGTGCTTTCGATGCCTAAAAATGGCCATCAAACTCATAATTAATTTTTTTAAAAGTGACAACAAAGAAGGGAACAATTAGAAGGCAATGGTATAGGCAAAAGGTTATTGTCAACATAGCCCAGAGTCACAAGCAAAGTAAATGTGTGACTATTTAAAGAGGGGACATTTGTAGCTTCAGTCTAGGACAGTGAACAGAATGGAGGGACCTGCAGAGTCATAAGGGATTAAAATAAATGCAGAAAGAAAATGTGTTTGCACAGCCCGCGGTGAGTGGCAACCAGGCCCACATGTTTAATTCTGATGACAGCATTAAATAGAATACTGGATCGCAGTGATTGGGCACGCCTGTGTCATAAATCAAACTTCCCCTTTCCACCCACAGTATCACTTGAGATGCAGATACTTTTTGCACAATGCTTTTGGAAGAGCTGGGTTTCACC